GCATAGACAACAAATATATATATATACACACACACACATATATACACACACACACATTTTTCAGTCTAGAGTTGGTTGACTCCATACAAGGACACCATAAAGAGTTGTTTGTTGCCGGGTATAGTGGCACATGCCTTTAATCCCAGACTCAGGAGGCCACTTGTTTCCTTCATGGCTGCTCAGCTAATCACACAGAAACTATATTGTTTAAAACACTACTTGGCCATTAGTTCATGCTTTTTATTGGCTAACTCTTATATCTTAATTTAACCCATCTCCATTAACCTGTGCATCACCATGAGGTTGTGGCCTACCACAGCAAAGTTTCAGCATATCTGTCTCTGGTGGAGACTCCCTGGCTTCTCCCTAACTCCTCCTTCTTTCTCCCAGCATTCAGTTAATTTTCTCTGCCTACCTCTATTCCCTGCACAGGCCCAAGATTTTTTTTTTATTAACCAATGGTATTCACAGCATACAGAGGGAAATCCCACATCACCTCCATTTTTCTGTTTAAATAAAAAGGAAGGTTTTAACTTTAACATAGTAAAATTATATTTAACAAAACAGGTATCAAGCAAGAATTACAGTTACAATATTTCTATCTACTTTGTCTTTTATTATAAGTAAGGAAAACTATAAAAATAACTATCTATTCTTCAACTCCATCAAAGACTCCAGAAGGATATAATATTACCTAACTTAACAGGCAGTGCATTGTAAGCAACTCTAGAATGACATAGACATCTCATTGCCTAGACAGTCACCCAAAGTTCTTCTGTAACATTGCGGGCACCCATCTTCAGCCTACGGGCCCATAGTATCCAGCAGACATTTCCATGAAGCAGGAGATTTCAAAGACAGATCTGCGTGTATCAGCAGTTTGTCAGTCACTTTCTTCTGTGTCCTACAGAATGTCTGACAGTCTCTTTCATGAAACAGGAGTCCCGAAGGACGGTCTCACTTTTAGGCAAGTTCAGCAGTCATTTCTCTGCAGGTCTTTCATGTTCATTTCATCAAGCAGTCTAGGCAAGAGCAGTTTCTTGCTCAAATGGCTAACCAACTGCATAACTCTTCAATGTCCATCTTTCTCTGGAAGTAATTGGTGCTGCCAGGAGCAGATGGGTCTCATCGTCATGAAAAGTCCTAACTTCTTAAAACATTTAAATGCCGTACTCCATAGACCTTTGAAAGGTTTGAAGAATGCCTATTCATCTGAAATACATCTCTGTATATCTAGAAAATCTAACATGACTAGAAGCTTGACTGTTATAGATGATTATCTAGTAGCCTATATTTCTTAACTATGCATTACATTTTAAATGAGCTGCACAAACACAATACCTTAATCAAGAGCAGAAATATACATATAACAAAATTGGCTTTAAATTTGTATCCATAAAGCAAGATCCATACCAATGCAAATCTCTATAGTACAGGCAAATCTCTGTGAGTTCAAGGCCAACCTGGTCAACAGAGTGAGTTCCAGGACTGCCAAAAATACACAGAGAAGCACTGTCTTGAAAAACAACAAACAAACAAAAAGTTGACTGTCTATGTAACATACCAAAGGGAGAGAGAGTGTTTTTCTCTCATTTAGAGGCATAAGCTATAAGCTGACTTTGATTCTGAGAGATTTGAACCTGTTAAATTTCCTTGTTCATCGTTGTATGACCCTCACAAACTGTTACATCATCTGTTCCACCAAAAAGGATGTATGTTCTTGCCTAAAGATATCAGACATGATGAAGAGATGCTATTGCAGTGTGTGTGTATGTGTGTCTGTGTGCACGCACGTATGTCTGTCCGTCTTTCTGTCTATCTGTCTATGCTGGGTATCTTGTTCCTGTTGTCCAGAGGAGATCATGTACATATTTATATAAATATGGATATGTTTCTACTGTCTTCTAAATGCCCACATCCGCTAAACTTGGGGATCACAGAACTTACATGGTGCCCCATCTCTGAACCAACCTGACCTCACAGATCCTGTGCTTACCTAACTAGAATCTCTGGCCCAATTCCCAGTTTCTGGAAGAAAGACCTTTTCTGTCTCATTTCTTTGGTGTGGGTGACATTAAATAACCTAGTCCCACCCCACCTCTCTTAAAGGAGCCATGGCATTAAGCCATGCCTAACTCTGTTTCTTTTTCTTTTTTTGTGTGTCTAGAATTACTTTTTAAGTTTTCTCAGGTTTTACATGGATTTAGTCAATCACATTGGGTACCAGTTTGTAGTAGGAGGCTGCTTGTTCATTTCCCGGCTGCCCAGACACAGAAACTGTATTAATTAAATCACTGCTTGGCTAACTTCTTATTAGCTAGTTTTTACATCTTAATTTAACCCATTTCCATTATTTTATATTTTACCACGAGGCTCCTGGCCTACTGGCAAGGTTCTGGCATGTCTGTCTTTGGCAGTGGCTCCATGGCTTTTCCCTGATTCTACCTCCTTTCTCCCAGCATTCAGTTTATTTTTCCTCACCTAGCTCTGGTCTACCCTATCAGGCCAAGCCAGTTTCTTTATTAACCAATGGTATTCATGGCATACAGAGGGGAATCCCACATCACACCTCCAACAAGGCCACACCTCTTAATCCTTTCCAGACAGTGCCACAAACTGGGGACCAAGCATTCAAACATATGGACCTATGGGGTCCAGTCTCATTCAGTCCACTACAAACCAATCAGATTTCATATCCTCCATCACCACCCAGCCCTTTCCTCTCCATCTCTTTCTTCTTTTCTTAATAACCAATATCCATGTGGTAGGAACCCAAAGAAGATGAACACCCTCCTTCCTTAAGCCCTGAACAGAAGTAGGATTCTCATCCTACCTTGTTGTAACTCAACAGTAGCACTTGTGGTGATCTTTTTTTGTTGTTGTTGTTGACTTGATGGGATTGAGAGGCACCACAGAAAATAAATGCAGCTCTGCAAGAAACCTAATGGGGCGCCAGAGACCAGAGCCTCCAAAGCCAGGAAGAGCCCATGCTGTAGCATTGTGGTGGTGAAGGTGAGGCATGGCAGAGCCTGCCTTCAATCCCAGCACTGGGGAGGCAGAGGCAGGTGAAGTCACACCAAGGTGAGGGATAGGATAAACAAGGACAGCCAGCATGTGCTCAGAGGAGGCTGGAATTGAAACGGTGCGGCTCAAATGACCACAGATGAAACACGCCACTCCTAAATATGACTCTTTTACACAAGGATTAGCTTGAACCGTTTATTTTAGAAAATTCAGCACAGGAGAAGCTCTGGAAACAAGAATATACACACTGTAGCTGGGCAGTGGTGGCACATGCTTTTAATCATTACATGCTTTTAATACTTACAAGGTAGATGGATCTCTATGAATCTGAGACTAGCCTGGTCTAAAGAGCAAGTTCCAGGACATCCAGGGCTACACAGAGGAATCCTGTCCTCCAAAACAATAAAAACAAAAGCAATGAGAGAAAGAGGAAAGAGATATATAGAGAGAGGATATATACTGCTTTCCTAAAGGAAATGTGCAGGGCTCCTATTGTTGGTATTTGTACCCCCTGTATGGATTGGTTCATTGCTGTGATTGGTTTAATAAAGAACTGGCCAATAGCTAGGCAGGAAGTGTAGGTGGGACTTCTGGGCAGAGAGAGGAAGTAGGAGGAGATAATGGAGGTGCAGGCACAGAGGGGACTCAATGAGACATAGAGGGATTTGGACATACAGAATACAAGAAAGGTAAAAAGCCACATGGTAAAACATAGATGAATAAAAGCAGGCTAATTTAAGTTATAAGAGCTACTGGGACAAGCCTAAGCTAAGGCCAAGCTTTCATCATAAAAAATAAGTTTCTGTGTCATTGTTTGGGAGCTGGCTGTTGGTACAGAGAAAGACTAGTTACACCTATGGTTTGGATGCTCCCCACCCCATAATGGTACTATGGGGAGGTGGTGGGACCTGGTGGGAGGTGTTGGGCTTACTCTTGAAAAGGACGAAGAACTACAGCTTCTTCCTATTGTCTTAGTTTGCTTTTGGAGCATGAGATGGCTTCCAGCATGGTGTGCTGTGAGCATCTAGGGGAAACAGGTACACTAGAAGACTCGGGAAGGCAGGCGTAGGGAGCAGGGGCTCTTGGTTGTGGATGGCATGTTTACCACGCGTCTCCATTCAGAAGGTGGATGTAGTTCCTGTCTGTGTTCTCACGTTTTCTTCTCTTTGGGGCTTGGTCTTGCTGTGTAGCCCTGGGTGTTTGTGAACTTATGATTCTCCTGCCTTAGCTTCTGCAGTGTGGGGATTAGAGACGCCAGTCACCATACACAACCACCTTTTCACTTTTACAACCTTAAATTGCCTTCAGTTTGTACTCTGCTCTAGGTGGTGTTCGTTTTGGTAATTACAGCAGGTGTGATGGGAGCGAGTCTCTAGGAGGCTTTACCTTCCGTAGAGAGAGTGGCCTAAATAGTACCTCACGCCACAGAGGAAGAGGCTCCTCCTTCACCTTGGACAACCGAGGCAAAGTTAGAGGCTTTCCCAAGTAGCTGGTTCTTTTAGTTCTAAACGTTCAACTTGCCCGAGGGGCATATTTGGGGATGACACATTCTGAACCCCTTCACCTGTTATGCCCAGTCCATGAGGTGCCCAAAAGACCACCAGGGAGACTGACTCACACAAATGCAAAAGTTTATTGTGTGCACATTACAAGCCGGGAGGGATCTTGTCAGCGCAGCTGCAGCAAGAGGAGGTACCCCGCTCGTCTTGAGGGATTATTTAAAGGCAAAACCCAGAAAAATTACATTAGCAGAGTGTGGGGTGATGGGTTCAATCCTGATTGCGCGTACCTAGGGACTTTTCAGAAATTTTATTTTCGAACCTCACCTGTTGCTTATCAAGTTTTCTTATCGGGTAGGGACATTCTGTGGTCACCTGTACACTCTAGCCGGCTACCCTGTTACTTTTGCCCCTAGCCATTTCTGAGGATGGGGATGTTTTGCTTTCTGAGGATGGGGATGTTTTGCGGAAAATAGCTTACACAAGGCACAAGATGGAGGCAGAGGACAAAATGGAGGAACTTCAGTTCTTCATCACCTACATGCGATATTGTCCCAAATCGATGGTTTTTCCTCTCATTCCCGTTTAATCAACCAGGAAAAACAACTCTTACTTCACCCGGGAATCACTTCTTGTCAGGATTATGTAGTAATCTATTCACAATACATTTGCCTTTGCCAAGTATATGCTCAATTATAAATATATTCTACAATATATCGACAAATCCATAAGGCCTAAATCTCCAGACTATTGCAGCCAGAGACCCAGGGCCCTGTTGCTTAATAGTAGGGCAAAGCAGGACCTCAGGGTCCTTTCTCATTATGTCTGAAGTCACTCCGTAAGGAAAGGGCTCAGTCCCTGCACCCCTCCTACTTCTTTTGGTTGAGACAGGGGCTCATGATATCCCAGGCCGACCTCGAACCCCTAAGTGCTAGGATTACACACGATGCCACTGTGCCTGGCCCTGGAGAAAACCCTAGCATCCATTGTGGAGTCACCCTCCACGTTTCCTTGGCAACCTAACCGGAGGGGGCGACTGCGGGCACACAGCCCCTGAAGGCCGCGGAGGGACGCAGGTCCTTTAGGTGTCCTAGGGGACACCGCAGAGTTGAGGGCCAGTGACTTCCCGAATCGTCGGCTCTGGTCCAGCCCATGGCGGAGGCGCGGGGGCTGCGGCGCGGTGGCGTGAAGCACGAGCTGCTGGAGAAGGTGGCGCGCCTGCGGCGGGGCGCGGAGCCCGAGGTGGCAGCGCGCAGAGCGGCGGGCGACAGCGGCTCGGGCTTGGGCTTCTGGTGCTGGCGGCGGCTGTTCGCGCGTGGAGCCCGGGGGGCGCGCCGGAGGAAGAGCAAGTTCCCACGGCCCGGCGCGGCCGCCCCGGAGCGCGGCGTGTGGGGACCTCTCGGCCTGCAGAGGCTGCTGCAGAGGCTGGCGAAGTGGCGGCGCCGCTACCTGCGGCGAGGGGAGCGGCCCGAGGGCCTGGAGGAGATCCCGCTGCTCGTGCTGGACCGCACGCGGGCCGCCAATTAGGGACGTCTGTGCTGGCCTCGCCTGCACACTCACCGGCCTCCGGTCGGTTAGGTTTTGTAAACGAAGGCAAGAAGTGAAAATAAACCCCTCACTGTCCAGATGAAAGAACTTGGATTTGGGGGTGACTCTCGCATCCCTGGTGCAGGAGGGAGGCATCAGCTTTTTGAGCGCATCGGTGATGTCTTTAGAAGCCTCCTGGCCGGTCCCTGTCCCCACGCTGGGTAGCGGGTGTAATATTGCCTTCTTACCACAACCCCCTGGGTGGTGTGGAATTGCCTCGCCATCCTTGATTTCATTTGTTTATAATGCAGATGTTGAGCCTACGCTGCTTTTTAAAATGTATTATTTAGGACCTTAGAGATGGCTCTGTGGGTAAACCTTGGGACTCGAGTTCGAGTCCCTGAACCCATGTAAAGGTGGCGAGGCAACTCCAAAGAGTTGTCCTCTGACCACCACATGCATAATAGTAATACTAGGTAAAAATCATCAGTCTTTCATCGTTCACAATTTCATATACATGCGCACACAATACATATATAATATACAATTTACCTCTCCGTTGAACATATCCCTACCCTATGTCCTCATTCTCCCTCCCGCTATCCGGGATCCTTTCCCTTAAGATTCTAAAAAAAAAAAAAAAAAAAAAAAAAAC